TACGAAAGTAATTTCGTTAAAAATACGAATTATTTCTGTGCATTTTACAAAAATTACGTAAAAAATAAAGAAATAGTACGAATTTTTTAGTAAATAGTACGAAATTCCTTAGTAAATAGTACGAAATTCCTTAGTAAATAGTACGAAATTCTTTAGTAAATAGTACTAAATTCTTTAGTAAATTGTACGAATATATTCGTAAAATGTACTAAAAATCTGATGCCTCATATTTTCGTAGTATGTACGAAAACGGTTTTGTACAATCAACGAAAACTTTCGTGGCTCAAAATGACGAAAAATTTCGTAAAATTTACGCAAGTTTTCGTTATATTTACGCAGATTTTATTTTCAGTGCAGTCGATAAACACCGTTGTAGAAAAAGAATCAGTTAATTATCCAACGGAATTTTAAACTCGATTGATCTTCCAGGGATGACCCCACATACTGAATTGAAAATAGGTGTGCCAATTATCACGTTGCGGAATTTTAATCAGCCAAAACTCTGCAACGGTACGCGACTCGCAGTTAAGAGATTGATGAAGAACGTAGTGTAAGTAAAGATTTTTACGTGGCCTTCCAAAGGTGAATAATTCCCATGATTCCGACCGATATACCATTTCGATTTAAAATATTGCAATTTCCAATTCGATTGGCATTCGGAATCACAATCAATAATGCTCAAGGTTAACCTTTGCAAAAGTGTGGTTTAGATTGAGATGCGGATTTGTTCTCAGATGTTGCGTGTTCCCGTCTCGGCAAACCAGATATGTTTGTACTTATTTCAAAACCAAACTCATATGAAACGAATGCTTCGTTTTGTTAATATTTTATCACACATGTAACAGGATTATGCCACAGCAAAGCGTGGCAGGGTATAGCTAGTATAGGTATAAGATTAAAGAGGTTTAAAAAAATGACTGCTGGAAATATTTTTGAGTAGGGTTGCAAACTATTTGAAAACTTTAACTCAGTTAAATTGATAAAATAAATGAAATATTGCAATGTGGGTGTGTGACCTCCACTTGTTTTAAAATTTTTTAATCTAAGAATACTTTTGTAAAGATTTTTTAATTTGTCAATTTTTGAAAAACTTTCATTCACATTTTTTCCCTGGTTTGAAACAAAATAAAATTATTTTTTAAAAGATATAAGTTTTTACTATTCACTTAGTAAGCAACAATTGGTGACCCCGATTTTTGAAAATGCCATTGGTTACTCGTGAAGACAATGCTGGAAACAACAATCAGCCGGTAGCCGCTGCATCCGGTTCACATCCCTTGCTGACGATGCCTACAGCATCCAGCGTAATACCATCGTCTTTTTCGGGAACTTCAATGGAGAGTAGCATGTTGCCCGGAGAATTTTTTTCGGCACGCATCCCGAAGCTGCCACCTTTCTGGCAAGAAGAGCCAGAAATCTGGTTTTTACAAATTGAATCCAGTTTCAATCTTGCTGGCATAAGCCAAGATTCAACAAAATTTGAATATCTGCTGAGCCATCTTGATCCGTCGATTTTTTACGTAGTGAAAGATATCGTCAAGAGTCCTTCAGCACATGGACGTTATGGAGCGATGAAAACAAGAATCATTCAACATTTTACAGAATCCGAGGAGAGTCAGCTGAAGCAGCTGTTAAACAACTTAGAGTTGGGTGAACAAAAGCCGTCGCATCTTATGCACCGCATGAAGTCTTTGGAAGGATCTAAGGTCAGTGATAATGTTTTGAGAATGTTATTTTTGGAAAGACTTCCGGAAAAAGTCAAGTGTATCCTCGAGGTCACAGAAGCTACTCAATTGGACAAATTATCGAACTTGGCAGATAAAATTTTTGAACAATTTTCTCCTACTTCGATGTCCATTCCTGAATTGGGCAAAAAAAATGTGCGATCCGTTTCGCCTCGTCCCGCATCGTTCGCATCGTCTCTTTCCGAATTACCCGATTTATCATCAAAATTAGACTCAATCATTTGAGGATAGAAGCGATCGACAACCGAACCCGCGCTTCTCATCGTGTTAATTCATCCAGACATCGTTCATCACAATCTCGTTCAAAATCACGAAACCGCAAAGATTCAGGGCTATGCTGGTATCACTGGCGTTTTGCTGAGAAGGCAACAAAGTGTTTACAGCCGTGCGATTTCAAAAATTCAAAAAACNCAACATCAGGAACCCGCAAAGATTCAGGGCTATGCTTACAGCCGTGCGCTTTCAAAAATTCAAAAAACTAACTCCGCCCTTGTCAGAAGTTTCGACCACTCATGACGACGGTAATGCATCTGGTCGATTATTCATCACTGAGCGTAAGACGAAAGTAAAATTTTTGATTGACTCAGGAGCTGAACTTTCAGTTTTTCCATGCAAGTCTTCAAAAAAATCCAGCAAACTCGTTCTTTACGCTGCTAACAACACTCGTATCCCTACTTACGGTGAAAAATTATTAGAACTTGCTCTGGGCCTTCGGCGAAACTACAGATGGAAATTCATTTTGGCAGATGTATCAAGACCAATCATAGGTGCTGATTTTTTGCGATATTTTCACCTGTTACCAGACCTGAGAAGGAAAATACTCGTTGATGGTTTAACGTTTTTAAACACACCTGTTAGTTTTTTGAAAGGAAAGGATCTTTGCATCAAAGCTATATCAGGAGAAAGTAAATTTCATGAACTTTTTAAAGAATATCCTGAATTGTATTCTGCTCAAACGTTTTCTACCGAATGCAAGCATCAAGTCGTCCATCATATCACAGTTTCTGGTAGCACTGTAAAGGCTCGCCCAAGAAGATTAGATCCGCAAAAACTTGCTATAGCTAAAGCCAAATATCAATATCTTTTTGACAACGGAATCATTCGCCCAAGCAGCAGTAATTGGGCTAACCCACNTTTCAATATCTTTTGGACAACGGAATCATTCGCCCAAGCAGCAGTAATTGGGCTAACCCACTGCACATGGTACCAAAAGCCGATGGCACTTGGAGACCATGCGGTGATTACCGAGCACTAAATAAAATTACTGTGTCGGATAAGTATCCGATACCATTTTACTATGGAAATGGCAGGTGCTAAAATATTTTCAAAATTTGATCTTATGAAAGCGTATTACCAGATCCCAGTAAATCCTGAAGATATCCCTAAAACCGCAGTTATAACACCATGCGGTCTGTTCGAGTTTGTGAGAATGCCCTTTGGGTTATGTAATGCGGCTCAGACCTCCCAGCGTCTCATGGATGAAGTTGTCAGAGGTCTTGATTTTGTTGTGGTTTATCTTGATGATGTTTTGGTTTTTTCGTCCGATTCTGATCAGCACTGGAAGCACATCAGGCAACTATTCGATCGATTTAAAACGTATGGTATAGTTGTCAACGCTGGAAAATGTGAACTGGGAGTATCAGAACTTAACTTTTTGGGACACAAAATTACCGCTTCTGGTATTGGTCCAATGCAAAAGAAAGTAAGCGCAATTGTGGATTATACAAAACCTTCAACAACCAAGGATTTAAGAAAATTTTTAGCATTGGTTAATTTTTATCGAAATGCCTACCATATGGAGCAAAATCTCAAGCACCTTTAAATAATTTGTTGATTGGGGCAAAGAAGAATGACATGCGACTTATTTCTTGGAATACAGAAACCGTTTCTGCTTTCGAAACGAAGTATCCCAAGCTACAATTCTTGCTTTTCCTCTACCAGATGTCGTCCTTGCACTTAAAGTGGATGCTAGCAACTTTGGCATGGGGGCGTCGCTAGAGCAATACGTTAATGGTGACTGGCAACCTCTAGGATTTTATTCTAAAAAGCTTTCCCACGCTCAATTAAATTATAGTACTTATGATCGGGAATTGCTTGCAATCTACTCCGCAGTAAAATACTTTCGCTATTTCTTGGAAGGACAAAAATTTAAATAAAGCATCTCCACGTCAATGTAGACAACTGGATTTTATTTCACAATTTTCAACAAATATTGTTCATATATCTGGCGTTGATAACGTTGTCGCTGACGCTCTATCCAGGGTCGAATCCATCAGGTGTAGCACGACCGTTTGTACCACTTAAATTTCGCAAAGTGATTTTCAAAAATATCATCATTTATCACATCCTGGCATTCGTTCTTCTAAAAAGCTAATCACGAAGAAATTTTTCTGGCCTTCAATGAATAAGGATGTAGTGGAATGGACTAGATGGTGTATCCCGTGTCAAAAATCAAAAATTTCAAAGCACATTTCAAGTCCACTAGGTAAATTTCCTGTAAGCAGTGGTTGTTTTAAAGAACTTCATTTCGACTTGGTTGGTCCATTAACAATATCTGAAGGCTATAGTTGTTTGCTCACTTGTATCGACCGATTTAGTCGATGGCCGGAAGCATTTCCTATAATGAATATTAAAGCTGAAACAGTTTGCAAAACGTTTTATGACTTTTGGGTTTGTCGTTTTGGATGCCCAAATATACTTATTTCTGATAGAGGACGTCAATTTGTATCATCACTTGTTCGTGATCTCGCGAAGTTTCTTGGAGCAAGACATAATATCACCACAGCGTTTCACCCACAATCCAATGGTTTAGTTGAACGTTTCCACCGCACTTTAAAGACTGGATTAATTTGTAATGAAAATTTGCAATGGAGTTCAACGCTTAATTCTGTGCTTTTAGGAATTCGTACTTCCTTAAAGGAAGATCTGAAAACTACTTCTGCTGAACTTATATATGGGGAAGCTATTCAACTTCCAGATTTCTTTCAACCACAACCAATTGGAGACCCTACAAGTTTCGTTTCAACTTTAGAAGCGATTATAAAAAATTTACAACCTGTTCCAACATCGGCACATTCCAGCAAGACAGTTTTTATTAGCAAAGACTTGAATACATGCACACATGTCTGATGATACTGGTCGGTCATCTTTGAATTTTAAATATTCAGGACCATATGCAGTCCACGATCGATTCCCTAAATACTTCAAAATCTCAGTTAAAGATACAATTGAAAATATTTCTATAGACCGTTTGAAACCAGTTTTTCAATCAAATGGACTTTAAATGTTTATTATTTTTTCTTTGCAGTTTCTTAGAGGGGAGCTATGTGGGACCTCCACTTGTTTTACAATTTTTTAGTCTAATACTTTTGTAAAAATTTTTTAATTTGTCAATTTTTGAAAAACTTTCATTCACATTTTTTCCCTGGTTTGAAACACAATAAAATTATTTTTTAAAAGATATAAGTTTTTACTATTCACTTAGTAAGCAACAGTAGGTATTAAACTNATTAATTGGTGCTCGTTTGTATGTACATACATATGTAAATGCATGTGTGTGCACCTTTCTATTAATATCGTTGAATTATTTTAATATCTATTGCTTAAAATTGTAACTCAGTTAAATTGATTAAATAAACGAAATATTGCAAAAAAAACTTTTTAAATACAACGCTTTTATAAATGGACTAAAAAGTAAAATAGAAGAAAAGTAGATATTTCTCAGTCCCACAGAATTTGTTTTGATAACTTTTGATTTTGAAATTTTAGCAAAAGTCATTATAAACAATTAATGACATTGAAAATGAAAAACGTGGAGCGCATGCAGTACAAAGCATTCGATTTCATTAACAATAGTCAAACTACATAACATTCTACAGCGAAAATACAAATTTGAGATCGATTTTAAGCGGTCGTTATTCATATGCCCACATACATACATATGTTACTTTTCATATCAATTCAAGTGTATTACATGCGCCCCACGCTTTTCATTTTCAATGTCATTAATTGTTTATAATGACTTTTGCTAAAATTTCAAAATCAAAAGTTATCAAAACAAATTCTGTGGGACTGAGAAACATAAATTTCTACTTTTTAGTCCATTTATAAAAGCGTTGTATATTAAAAAGTTTTTATTTTATTTTGTTTGTTTTCTACTTTTTAGTCTTGTCCGTACAAAATTTTGCAATAGGTATTAAAATAATTGAACTTGCAGTGAAAGAGAACAGAAAACTATACAAGCACAATGTTGTTTGCTCACATTTAGTATAAACATATAATTACTCATTTAAATTGCTTTTTGTATCTAAATCCCGTTAAACTAATCACAATTTATTGATAGCTACAAACAGGGTTGCTTAAGTAGCTAAAAAGAAATTTTACCCGAGTTGAGCGTTCTTTTCTCGCTCGCTTACAAAAAAATGCAGCTAGTATAAATGGTGGTCTGGACATACAACATTCAAAGCGGTCTAGACGTACAACATTGCAAGTTGATAAAAGCGTTGTAAAAACGTGGAGCGCATGCAATACAAAGCATTAGATTTAATTGACAATATTCAAACTACATACATAACATAATAATAATAATAGATTGGCGCTTACACATATGTTAGTGTTTGGCCGAGCTTCTCCTCAAACTTGCGGCGTGCGCCTTGATTGTCACACAAAGCGGAGGGACCTACAGTTTTACGCCGACTCCGAACGGCGATTGTATTTTTATGAGAAGCTGTTCATGGCAGAAATACACTCGGAGGTTTGTCATTGCCTGCCGAGGGACGACCGCTGTGAAGAAAAACCTAAACACAGCGAAAGTACCAATTTGAGATCGATTTTAAGCGGTCGTTATTAATATACCCACATTAGGCTGGGTCGATTTTGTATGGGGGAAAATAAAAGTCATTTGACCGCATTGTAATAGTAATATTATGATGTCTTAGGTCTCAGCCAATTGTTATTGGCTA